AAAATATCCCAGCTTCACATAGTAATTACTAGACTAAGTAATACATGTGCTATAAATCACCTTTTGTAAGATGTTGTATAGACAGCATGCCCTATTTTTTTTTGCTGGTTTTTATGAAACATGTAACGTGTTATTTCCTCCCCTAGCCTCTGGAATGTATTTAGCCTATGTGATTTCTTACCAAGTGTTTTCACCTAATAACAATATGGCCACACCACAGCAAGATACAATACAAGACGAAGGGACACCCAGTGACTAACGTGACCCAGTTAAGATGGCCCTATTTGGTGTAGATTCAGGAGAAAAGTAGGTTCTGATATTTTAATAGTGACATTGTTACTAACTCTGGAGACTTAGCCATAAGTGGAGCAAATCACTGCTAGATAATTAACCTGCCCCTTAGAGGTTCAGGATAGGTCTATATTTGGCCCTTTTAGAGACTTGCTAATGAAAGTCGGAAACAGTGAAAGTCTTCATTATAGATAGGGTTGAAACATTTCGTAAATCTTCCCAAAATCCTCAGGTTTTCCGTAAATCCAGGTTGGATATTTTCGGATTTCCTGCATATTCCCTCTTGATTCCAGGATAATTCCAACCAGGATTTCTGGAAAACCTGGGAATTTTGGGAAAGTTACCAGAATTTTGCAACCCTTATAGATCATTATGTTTCCTTGAATGTCAATGTTATCGTGGAAATGTTACTAGCCAACATAACATTACAAGTACTACTACAGAGCTAAGGTACATCTCTCCTATGGTGGGAGGACACTGGCTGTGCTAGAGACGGAGTGGGGGGTTGTGATTGGCCTGTAGGTGTCATGTTGCCAGTGTCATGTCTGCCCTATGGGGGGCGATGTCACCGGGCTGCTCTGACAGTTCTCACACTGAGACCCCCCACCCTACGCACACACACGCACGGCACGCACACGGCACACATTCACGCACGCACACAGACACACACACACCCACACACACACACACACACACAGTCTTCCAAAGCCTGCCAGGATTACAGAGGACAAACGCCACAGGAGTCTCCTGGCATCAATATATAGAATAGATAGACTAATTGATACTCCCAGTTGGTATTAAATAGAACTTTGCGGCCCCGCCCGCCTGTGGGGAAAACAACCCATGGTTACCTTGGTTACCCCATTGGCTCACAGCAAAAACTATACTTATTCAAACACAATTTTCTTGTTGTCTGCTTGTTTTAGACAATTACAAAACTACATTTAAGAAAAGTACAACATGTCTAAAGATTAATTTTCAACATTGCCTGCTCCCAAGCGTTCTCACTACTTAGTCCCCTGTAGCTCAGTTGGTAGAGCATGGCGCTTGCAACGCCAGGGTTGTGGGTTTGTTTCCCACGGGGGGCCAGTATGAAAATGTATGCACTCACTAACTGTAAGTCGCTCTGGATAAGAGTGTCTGCTAAATGACTAAAATGTAAAAATGTTAGAAAAACTTCATATTGTAGGGTTTCCCTCATGCCCCTTTTCATGACGCCGCTAACGTTAGCCACGTGACTGAGTGCTAGCTAGCTACCAACCAGAACATTAAGCTATCCAAGACCAACAACACAAACAAACAGATTATAAAGCTACAAGTAGTGAGTGGAGTTAAAAACGAACTACTAAAAGTTAAACGTCTTACCTGTGATTAAATGTTTTCCACACACATAGCTACGTGTAGCCTACTTGGACACTGGGTCTCCACAATTTCCCACTCTTCCACACCGAATAGCCTGAAACCCCAGAGGTGTTCTCGCAGGCTCTTTTCCCTACATGGGAGCATTACGAACCGCAGGTAGGGATTTCTGACCTGGTTACATGTACATTGAACAACACAGCAGCTTTTCAGCATGTTTTGTTATTTCTGTATAACAAAAAAATCTACGACTAAGTTGACTCTTTTACAATGGGGGTCAATGGGAAATAATGTTTGTTTTCCCCAATTTGTGGTCATGGTTGAGGGGAATTCCTTCTTATGACATGAATACCGACTCGGAGTATACACACCAAGATATAGAATAGAACAGAATATAATTGAATAGAATAGAATTTAATTACTTAATATTTCCAGAATGAACTATGGAATATAGGTAAGATGGAACACGGAAAGCAATTAAATCAGTAACTGCTGTGTACAGTAGCATTATGTATTGTTATTTTTTATCTGTTAATGTTTCTGTTTCTTTAGCTTGATTTCCCTTGAGAAGGACTGGGGTGACTTGGTTGGTTGTGCTGCTTGTCTGATCCCACACAGGTGAACCGAGGGACCTACTCCAGGAGGAGCCGATTGAAAAGGTCTGATGGCAGCACCACCTCCACTAGCTTCATCCTCAGACAGGTAGGACTCCGGGGTTTCCCCTAGGTACTGATCTAGGATCATCTTCCCCTCCCCCAATCCTAACCTTAACCATTAGTGGGGGAAATGCAAAACTGACTGAAGATCAGCGTAAAGGGGCAACTTCACCCTACTCCACAGGTAGGCCGGGATGGGTTACATTCCAGAAAGATGTTCCCTTCCCTATGCCCTCGTTCACTCCCTCTTCACAGATCTGATAGGACTGGACAGGTGAAAGCAATATGTCGGAAACTAGCTGGAGCTATTGCTAGCTTACACCTAGCCATGTCTTCTCAGGTCTGTGATGGGGAGTGACCAAGGGCAGAGGGGAGTGGACAACTTTCTGGTATGAGAACACACACTGACAGAGAGCCAGATTCAGTCACAAACAGACATGTAAACACGCACACGCAAGGACACATTTCTTGGTGTTTTTTTACATAGCCCAGTTTGATTGAATTGCGGTTTTGATTGAGTTGAACCATGAATTGAGCCTTGAGACATACTACAGCAGGCAGTGAACATCTAACCAGGATAAGGGGACAGCAGGCAGTGAACATCCTGGAAACCAGTCAACCATTCAGTCATCCATATGTTGCTGACCTGAGGAAACCAACCAAATCACCTTCATTGTGCAGCCCCAGGACAGACCCTTTTAGAGAGATAGAGAGCAACAGGGTATGCAGGTTGTTTCTCCAACCCCACTCCAACACAGCTGATTCAGCTAAGAATTATGTTTCAGCAGGGCTGGAGCAAAAGCTTACTGTACATGTCTCTCTAGGGGGGGTTGGCCAACACTCATCATTTTGTTATTTTAATGAACTTACATATATTTTTCTAATATAAATACTGTACAAAATATCTCTCTACAGGCAAATGTTTTTATTTGAACTATTTCTGTTATTGTGTCTTTCCATAAGAAGATTCAGTTGATTTTGTGAATCTGCTGTTTCTTATTGGTCTTTTGCCCCTTGTTTATTTTAGAAACGGATACACTTGAATAAGCATCAACATGATAATGTGACTATCAGAATGGAAGCTTACAGTTATAACATGCAATACATTGTGGTACATCAAACCATTTTGGACTGAATCATTTATATTCTGGTTATCCACTATACTCTATACAGCCCCTTTTGTTTCATATTCTGGTTATCCACTATACTCTATACAGATCTTTTTGTTTCATATTCTGGTTATCCACTATACTCTATACAGATCCTTTTGTTTCATGTTCTGGTTATCCACTATACTCTATACAGCCCCTTTTGTTTCATATTCTGGTTATCCACTATACTCTATTCAGATCCTTTTGTTTCATATTCTGGCTATCCACTATACTCTATACGGATCCTTTTGTTTCATGTTCTGGTTATCCACTATACTCTACAGATCCTTTTGGTTCATATTCTGGTTATCCACTGTACTCTATACAGCCCCCTTTGTTTCATATTCTGGTTATCCACTATACTCTATACAGATCCTTTTGTTTCATATTCTGGTTATCCACTATACTCTATACATACCCGTTTGTTTCATATTCTGGTTATCCACTATACTCTATACATATCCTTTTGTTTCATATTCTGGTTATCCACTATACTCTATGCAGCCCCTTTTGTTTCATATTCTGGTTATCCACTATACTCTATACAGATCCTTTTGTTTCATATTCTGGTTATCCACTATACTCTATACAGATCCTTTTGTTTCATATTCTGGTTATCCACTATACTCTATACAGCCCCTTTTGTTTCATATTCTGGTTATCCACTATACTCTATACAGATCCTTTTGTTTCATATTCTGGTTATCCACTATACTCTATACAGCCCCTTTTGTTTCATATTCTGGTTATCCACTATACTCTATACATATCATTTTGTTTCATATTCTGGTTATCCACTATACTCTATACATATCATTTTGTTTCATATTCTGATTATCAACTATACTCTATACATATCATTTTGTTTCATATTCTGGTTATCCACTATACTCTATACAGCCCCTTTTGTTTCATATTCTAGTTATATCTGTGGTGCTTAGCCTATACACTGGAAGAGAGAGATGGATAGAGAGAGAAAGGGAGACGCATAAATAGAGAGAGAGAGAGAGAGAGAGAAAGAGATAGAGAGAGAGAGAGAGAGAGAGAGAGAGAGAGAGAGAGAGAATGATGCTACTGTCATCTCCCTCTTCCTATACTCGCCCAGTCAAGGAGAGAGTGTGTGTGTGTCCAAGCTGAGTGGAGGGCTGCACAGCCAATCGGCTTGCTGCACATTGGCTTTGTCATCGGGTGCTGATATTTAGGAAGGATTCTCTATGCTGCTCCGTTCGTTGTGTTTGGAAGGGCTGATGAAATGCCAGGATTGGGCTGCCTCTAGGGAGAGCCTCTCTGCCTTATAATGTGAGCCAGTAGCATCCAGGCTCGGGGCTAATTCACAAACATCGACCAAGCAGGCCTAGGGGAAACCAAGCAGGCCTAGGGGAAACCAAGCAGGCCTAGGGGAAACCAAGCGCAGGCCTGCTCTGCTACTGCTCCCACTTCTTTTCCTCTTCCAGCGGAAAAAGGAGGGATTTATTTTTTACAGTGAAGAGAGAGGGGATCGTCATCCCCCTATCATCCCGTGTTCTGTGGTGGATCCCTCTTCCTCCTCTTCCTCCTCCTCCTCCTGCTCCCCCTCCTCCACCACAGTCTCCTCCTCCGCTCTCTCTGTTTTTTCCTTTTATTCTTCTAGAGGTGCTTTTGGAAATAGCAGACCTCCATGTATGACAATTTGTACCTGCATGGATTTGAAGACTCGGAGGCGGTGAGTGGTGGGGGGGGGGTTAGCTTCAGATCGTGTGTGTGTGTGTGTGTTTGTCGATAGAGGTGGCTCAGCTGTGGTGCACACACAAACACAGGGCCTACTGTAGGTAAGCTGACGGTCTCATGCTGTAGATAGAAGGATCGCGGTCTCCGCTGGGGGGTGGGGTGACTGTGGCACTGTAGGGAGAAGACGGCGTCAGACGTGTGTGTGTGTGTGTGTGTGTGTGTGTGTGTGTGTGTGTGTGTGTGTGCACAGTCGTGAGAGTGTAATTAGCGATGATGTGTATAAGTATGACTAGCAATATGTGTCTGTCAGCATTAGCCCAATGCATCTGAATAGCTGCATCCTATCATCAGCACATTTCAATGGCTGATGATAGCTATACAATGTACACTGTAGGCATCCATTTAATGCACAGCACACGTAGGAGCACAAAGATGGAGATAGCGTTATATAGCGAGAGGAGAGCAGTGTGTAAATGCTCATTCCTATGCTCCAGAGGGCCGTTTCGCTCCCAGCGTGAGGTTGTGATTGCGTAATGTATCCTCATATCACAGCCTTTCCAAACGTAGGGTATAGCCCTGCTGCATTTAGTGCCTTTTGTTTAAAGGGGCAACGATTCTATTTTTACTCCCAGCAACAGCAATGTGTTGGATTTCTGCTGCTGAGGACAGAGAGGAGCGTGCGTCGTGATGTCATACACTGGAGTTAGATAGACATGAGTCACATGTCAGTGCTCTGTTAGACGCCCGACAGTCGTACAATATGGCCGTGAAGAGATACTTTACCCCAAAATGCACCCCTCTAACCACCCACATACCCTGTTATCCATTTTATATATATAGGCTGATCAGCAACCGGCTATAATTATTTATTAAGATATATAATGAATATATATAAAGGAATATGGTATTTGTTGAGGGGGCGTGAGAATAAATGTTTACCAAAGCACTTAAGCAGAAGAGCTGGGTGTGTGTGTGTGTGTGTGTGTGTGTGTGTGTGTGTGTGTGTGTGTGTGTGTGTGTGTGTGTGTGTGTGTGTGTGTGTGTGTGTGTGTGTGTTTGTGTGTGTGTGTGTGTGTGTGTGTGCGTGTGCGTGCGTGCATGTGTGTGTGTGAGAGAGAGAGTGTGTTGACAGTGAGGATTGTTCTAACAGGGTGTTCTTATAATATACAGTATGTCAGTTGAATGCTTATGATGCTTGAGAAAGACCACATCGTTATAAGACAGAGTGGTGCTAGTGTGAAAACAGGGAGCTGTGACTATTAACATAAATACTTTTAACAAGAGCAGTGTAGGTTGATTTGTGTCATGTGTTTTTCATAAAGGTGACACCCAGTAAAAACATTTTTTTTAATGTTATGATTGTGGTTAATAATTAGGCTCATAGTACTTTTATCATAGAACCTTAATGTGATCCATGGATTTATATCAGCAGCTGTTTCTTAATAGCATTGACTCAAGATGCAATATATATCTTTTTCAGAGCAATCACTTCTTTCTCTAAATAAGCAAACCTCCTCGTTTTGGTTTCCCAGACCCGCCATTTTGTGATTGGTCCACACAATTCAATAGAGCCCCTGCTGAAGTAAGCCCAAGAGATAGCTTGTCTGTTGTAGAAAGTGCTGTGCTATGACTAGCGTGTGTGGATTTTAGCAGACTGCGAGACTTTCCAGGTTCCTAATGCGATATTGACACATGCACACGCACGCACGCACACACACACACACACACACACACACACACACACACACACACACACACACACACACTCAGGTACGCACGCACACACCGAACACACACACACACACACACACACTGTTCTTTCTCTGACTTGAGTTAATGTTGTTCCCCAATTCGATTATCATTAGTAGATTCACTCTCTCTTCTTCTGAGGCCAAGGCATGGGTCAATACTTTAACACACGCTCCAGACATGTCTCAGCCAACCTTCCTGTTCAGTCCAGCTGCCTACGGGCCACTGTGCTCACATATGAGCATAACCAGTGGTAATGTGTAACCAGTAGTGATGTGTAACCAGTAGTAATGTGTAACCGGTGGTAATGTGTAACCAGTGGTGATGTGTAACCGGTAGTAATGTGTAACTGGTAGTAATGTGCAACCAGAGGTAATGTGTAACCAGTGGTAATGTATAACCAGTGGTAATCAAACATCTGGGCTATCAAGTCTCAGGCAGTGCTACCTCATCACAAGACTATGATTCGATGCATGCTCTTCCTGGTACAATAGTGCCCCCAAGATAATTAAAAAGAAACTGCAGACATCTCAGAACAAATTAGTCAGGATTATTCTTAAACTTCCCGCTCGTTCTCATCTTGACCATTCCCACTTTGAAAGCCTCAGATGGGTAAAAGTGGAGGAGAGAGTCTCTCAGATTAAAGTGTGTGTTGTACGTAAGCTTGTCCACAGTATGGTCCCCAGGTACCTATGTAACTACTTGAACTTGGTCCGGGATAACCATAACTATTCCACTAGAAGGAGTGAAACTGTCATTGTTCCTTTTAGATTTAATAGTGGTAAAAGGAAATAAACTTTTTTGTACTCAGCTGCTATTCTTTGGAATAGTCTTCCAAATAATTTGAAATGTATCATCTCCAGAGGCAGTTTCAAGTTCTCACTGAAAAAAGTCTCAAAAGTGAGTCGTAAGACTATAGTAGGTGGGTGAGAAGAGTAGAAAATGCCTGGGATAGTATATGGTCTACCTTTTGGTGCCTATTGTGTACACCCCCCTCCCCCTCCAAATGGACCACAATAGAAATAAGCTTTTAAGCTTTATTGTGTTATCCTTGATGATTTTCTTAAATTGCATGTGTAGGCGTCACCGGCTGGAGTGCCCTTATGTATGTATTTAAAAAATAGTCTAATAAATTAAATCAATCAATCAATCAATTAATCAATCAATTCCAAATCACCTCACCTCTGTTTAGTAAGATAAACCGGATGTAGTTACAGAGCATTATGGGTACTGTAGTACGTCATGCTACAACCTCCTCCACCTGGTGACAGCCTGGTGACGGCCTGTTGAAGGCCTGGTGACAGCTTGGTGACGGTGACGCTGGCAGTGTGATCATAGTGACAGCTGCTGTCTTCCTGTCTGTCCATGTCCTGTTGTAGGGCTCAGCTGATTCCTACACAAGCAGACCATCGGACTCGGATGTCTCTCTGGAGGAGGAGCGGGAGGTGCCGGGCCAGGTCCAGGGCCAGAGCCCGAGCCAAGCGGTCCCGGGGACCCAGGCCCCGGCCCAGACCAGAGAGCAGAAGGAGCAGCAGGCTGCCCTTGCAGCTGGAGAGAGCCAAGGTGAGACCCAGAGAGGTTGTGTTCAGTAGGGATAAAACGGTTTTAAAAAAGGTTTTAATTTAAATGTGAGGGTACTACCTGGACAACAAGAAGACGTTATACTGTACTATGTAAAGGGTGGCAGAAGGGTTATGCCACAATTGATAAAGCACCAGATGTAAGGATCCGTTATAGCACACTTATATTGTATGACATTTGCTTATAAATGATTTGTGAAGCATCCACGTAGGCATTATAAAGGGTTTATGAAGGCTTTATTAAGCCTTGTAAGTCATAGTTCATTCATGTGAACTTACGTTCATGCTGTGCGGCTCTCTGACTGACCCTCTTGTCCCTCTCTCTCTCTCCAAAGGCTAAAGCCGTGGCCTTTGCTGTGAAGACCAATGTCAGCTACTGTGGAGCGTTAGACGAGGACGTGCCGGTGCCAGCGACCGCCATCTCGTTCGATGCTAAGGACTTCCTTCACATAAAGGAGGTAATGTTTTTGTCACTGAGGCAAGGTTGAACTGTGGCACGCTATCAACCGGACTTTGATCAAATACATTTGTAAAATAGATTTGTGAGATATTTTTCAATGCCAAATGATTTAGCTTGGAGTGTGCACATTTCGGACTATACCATTGTACCAGACAAACTAGATTAAGTGTAGCTATTTGAAAGTATTTGATATCAGTGGAGGCTGGAACAGAGCCAATGGAATGGCATCAAACACGTGGAAACCATGTGTTTGGTGTATTTGATACCATTCCCCTCATTCCACTCCAGCCATTACCACGAGCCCATCCTCCCCAATTAAGGTGCCACCAACCTCCTGTGTTTGATATGTATTTGACCCAGGGCAGTTATCAACCACTATTACATTAACAGAAAGGGATGTACACTGAATTTAGTACCTGTGTTCTGAAACACACTCACTGTGTGTTAAAACTAGATACAACTGCTTATTTCATTGTATTCATGTCATTTTGGCTGCGTTTAGACAGGCAGCCCAATTCTGATCTATTTTTCCACTAATTGGTCTTTTGACCAATCACATCAGATCTTTTCACATCAGATCTTTTTCAGAGCTGATCTGATTGGTCAAAATACCAATTAGTGAATGAAACAAATATCAGAATTGGGCTGCCTGTCTAAACGCACTGAAACTGATTTTTCAACCACACCTCCAACCCATCCAGAAGTTCAACAACGACTGGTGGATCGGCCGGCTGGTCAAGGAGGGCTGTGAGATCGGCTTCATCCCCAGTCCCCTGAAGCTAGAGAACATCCGCATCCAGCAGGAACAGAAGCGAGGGCGAGTCCAAGGGTAAGGTAACCTATCACCAGGCCTCTCTCACTCAGTCAGAGACTTATAGGCTTGTGACCCTGGGAAGGGGGTTAGGAAGGGGCCAGCAGTGCTATTCAAAGTTTAGTCAAATTGATTCGGTTATGACAAATTAGTCAAATTAGTATAACTCACTTGGTTATGAATGTGCTTATGATGTGTTATAAAGAAGGTAATCATAGGAAGTGTTACAGATCATTTAGAATAATTACATTTCTCTCCATCCATATCCAGAATAGAAAAATCTAAATATTTCTAAGGTCTCTGGCCTTAATAATCAGTAGTGCTTTGGTTTTTCTAGCGACCTAGCTGCTCTGTCTGTTTAATCGCTCTTGAAGCTCCCGTCACCGGTGGTTTTGTCTCGTGTGCGTACTATCCTTCAGAGCCGTTCACTGCACTAGGCCTGTTCAGTTTGAACACTAATTCAGTGTAATGAGAAGACTCGGGATGAGTTGAGAGGCTCACCTCGAGTCCTTCATTCACCCTATAAGGCCTGGATTGTGCATTTCTAACCCAGTCGCCGTTGGCCACATTAACACTGTGATTCTGTTGTGTTCCTTTTGTCCCTCTTGTCTTTTCCAGTAAGTCTGGAGGGAATTCTTCCTCAAGTGTAGAGGATGAGGTGTCCGCCTCGGTCAGACCCCTCATCTCCTCTGCAGGTGAGAGCCTCTTAGAGATGATGGGGGGACGTTGTCCGCCCCTACTGGCCCTCCGTTAGGTTAGAGAAGAACTAGAAAACTTTGGCAAGGCAACGTGAGACGTAGAGCAAGGATTGCTTAGTGTTTAAGCCTTCCCATGTCTCTCCATAGAACCTAAGATAAATGATTCCCAGCGGGCAAAACTGGTTGCAATAACGTCATTGTGACGTCTTTTTGTGATGTCACGGTCAAGTTGTATTCTGGTTGTAAAAGGACGTTTTTCTGGACGTCTTTTTAGCAATCAGAGAAAGACGTCTTTAACTGGTTGTAATCTGAACAGATAACAACCAAATTATGATCTCTGTCCCTGAGTTATCTTGACATTTCTATAATCAGAAAACCAGTTTACAACCAGAATATGACATCAATATAACATTGGTTGTAATCAGATGTCTCAACAACCAGAAAACCAGTTTACAACCAGAATATGACGCCATTATAACATCCCATACCAACTTTTGCCTGCTGGGTTGTGGATCCATAGAGTGTATATATATATATATATATATAGTGTATTCTCCCATCCTCCTCTTCCTCCAGTTGAGGACTGCAGGCGCTCTGAGACTTGGCTTACCACAGGGTGAACCCAACGACAAGACTTTGACCCCCCTGAACTTCAGTCATGTGACTTTGTGAATATGCCTCATAGGATATTAGGATCATGTTTATATGTTGGATGATGAATCTAGAGGGTATATGTTTACTTTGTGTGTCAGTTATATCCTCGGGTTTGAAAATGTATTTACTGTAAATTACATTATGATCATCCCAATTCCCAAAATGAAGTACAGGATCATGAGGTCTCTGACCTGACAAGTTATGGTGACTTATGACACAATACAATACAAGACATTGACAATTCTGTTTTGTTTTACTTCACAGGAAAGCAGAAACAAAAAGCGGTAAGTGGGTGATGGTAACACTAAACTGTCTCCATCAACTAGAGCTGTCTACATTACAATAGTACAGTGCCCATCCTACATCCCATCCTACATCCCATCTAACATCCTGTCTAACATCCCATCTAACGTCCCATCTACATTAGTGAAATAGATTTGAGTCAGATTGTGCTGTCACAATGATCCATACATCCCGTGCATCTATCCCATTTTGTTACTGTGGGAAAATCTCAATTGCATTTCCTTGACTCCTTGCGTCCTCTCTCCTCGCCTCCTTCTCAAAACCCATTGGATGAGAAGGTAAAAGGTCCCTCCCCTCTGACTTCTCCTCCAATGGGTTTTGAGGAGAGCCGAGGGTTCTAGGAAATGCAATTGAGATTCTCCCAATGCGTCCCGCTGCTCCTCTGATTCCTTTGTTACTCTGTTACAGACTGAACACGTTCCGCCTTACGACGTGGTGCCGTCCATGAGGCCTGTGGTGCTGGTGGGGCCCTCCCTCAAGGGCTATGAGGTAAGCAGCAGCAGCGGCGGCGGCCATCTTTGAGTCACATGATCATCCTCTGGCTCTGGCCCATCCTAGAACTCCCATTGGTGGAATGACAGTAACAGTGCATCATGTTAAATGATTGTTGTTGCGGCTGTCATGATCACATCTCATTGAGGGAAGATCTCCTCATGGCTGGATGGCGTTTCTATTGAGTTCAGGTTTATATTCATTCATGTTTATATGTAGGCCATTTTTTTATAAGGTTGTATTGACACAGAATAGGCCTATTGGAGCTCTACTAGAGTCTATATTTAGGATGCTGAGTGAGGTGCTTTGTTGATGTTTTTCTAGTCATTCTCAGAACACCATAGTACAGGGAGCTGCTTTCCTCTCCTCCCCTCTTCCCCTCTTCCTCTCTCTCTCTCTCGCTCGCTCTCTCTCTCCCTCCTCGCACGGAGGGAACGCAATCAGTCGCCTCATCCCCCAGTGTGCTCTGTTGCCGCGGTAACAACCTTCTGGGTGCAAACGCGTCAGCATCAGAAGTAGAGCAACGTTGGAAATTAGAAAGAGAGGAGAGAGAGGAGAGAGAGGAGAGAGAGTAGAGAAGAGAAGAGAGTGTAGAGAGATGAGAGAAGAGAGAGTAGAGAAGAGAGAGGAGGGAAGAGAAGAGAAAAGAGAAGAGGAGAGAGTAGAGAGATGAGAGAAGAGAGAGGAGGGAAGAGAAGAGAGAAGAGAAGAGTAGAGAGAAGAGAGAGTAGAGAGGAGAACCCCTGGAAGCAGCATCGCTGTGTTTCTAGATTAAACCAGCCACTAAATTATCTTTGTATATGCCACCATCCTTACTGGCAGGCCTCTGACCAGTTCCATGATACCATCCAAATTCAGTAATTTCAGGAGATCCATTTTAGTCTGAAATTAGTCTATTGTTGACAATGAGGATTTTACATTGCATTTCAGTAACAGAATATGAATCTATCTAGTGAATTGACTGATATCATGGAATTGACCCCAAATCTGGCTTTACTATTGCACTCATCAAGTTGTAGTTGTTTTGTATCAGGGTAGAACTCTATGAAATATAATGGCATGTTTGATATTATTTTCAGTATCCTCCAGTCAAATGACTGGATATCTGAACTAGTAGAATAGAATTGATAGAATGCTAAATGGTTTGTTGCACGTAGGCTGTCGTCATGGGACATCTTAGCTCTGGCCATGATGTGCTGTGGCCATGATGATCACCCAGTTGATACCGTGTAGCTCAGTTGGTAGAGCATGGCGTTTGCAACGCCAGGGTTGTGGGTTCGTTTTCCCACGGGGGACCAGTATGAAAAAAAATGTATGCACTCACTAACTGTAAGTCACTCTGGATAAGAGCGTCTGCTAAATGACTAAAATGTTATTTCCCAGGAGGTTTGCTTGCTGTTAGGGTTAAATGTTCTCTTTTTGAACACTACTCTCTCTCCTATATATACCCTCATAATTCTCTCTCTCTCTCTCCATCTTCACTATTTCTCCTCTTTCGGCTTCTCTTTCTCCACAGGTGACGGACATGATGCAGAAAGCGCTCTTTGACTTCCTCAAGCACAGGTTTGACGGCAGGTGAGATTAAGGATGAGGCCTCCTGTAGCTCAGTTGGTAGTTGATAAGAGCGTCCTGCTAAATGACTAAAATGTAGATGAAAGAGGTTCCTTTCCTTTTGATGTTTTGTCTGTTTATTGTTCAACTCGTTACACTCAAATGACATTGACTTATGAAGCCCTACGAGATAGATAGGCCTAGAAATTCACATGGAATAGCTCTTTAGTGAAGGAGTATCTGTCAGCAAAATAAGGTATGCAGTATTTATCCACTTAATGCCTAAATTGGTGTCTTTGTTTGACCATTTCAGGATATCTATCACACGAGTTACAGCAGATATATCATTAGCCAAGAGGTCTGTTCTGAATAACCCCAGCAAGCGGGCCATTATCGAGAGATCAAACACCAGGTCCAGCTTAGGTATGTACCTCCATAATGTATTGATCTCTTTTACTGTAGCAGTCTTTTGAGTTTGCATTGTGTATCGACTTTTGCCTACTTTTATCCGTAGCTAGCATCTCTATGAGACTGGGCTAAAGAAGAATGATTTAGCTTGATTGAGCTACCTGCCGCAATGGAATCAATGGAATAGTCCCAAAAGTGCAAACTCCACCCACCTGGCTCTCCAGACAGGCTCAATCAAATGCTCAACGTAGTCATTGGCTACGTTCCAATGTCCATAGTAGACACCACTTAGAATGAATCAATGTATTGGGAATGCAGTGAAGGGATGGGAGTCTGTGTGTACCGGTTGTTTACGTATACAGTGTACTGGGCTGACTGTTTTCAGTGTGTATGATTGTTGTACGGTGATGCCGAAGTAAAATGTCCATCCTGAATGGACAGTAAAGTTATATTCTAAAGTCTATTGTTTACATCCTTGTCCCCAGCGGAGGTGCAGAGTGAGATAGAGAGGATCTTTGAGCTGGCCAGGTCCCTACAGCTGGTGATCCTGGATGCAGACACCATTAATCACCCAGCCCAGCTGCTCAAGACCTCGTTGGCTCCCATCATCGTCCATGTCAAGGTCTCCTCGCCGAAGGTAGGGACTGGAGGGGCTTGTATTAGGGTCATGTGATTTGAAACACATCCATGTCTACTATAGGGCCTCAGAGGTAACAATAATATTATATGGCCATGAAGCAGACACTTCATCATCTAAAGCAACTCACAGAACTGTCAACATTGTCAGTTATACGGTACGCTATAACCTACTGAGCCACTGGGACCACGTTCTTTTGAAAATGAATGTCAGCATGCTTAGACACTGATTGGTTTGTCAGTGGAGGGGTTTTCTAGAGTTATACATGTGTTTTGTTTTCATAGGAACACACTTTAATCTATCTAAGGTATTATACATTTATTTTAAATGATACTATTTGACCTGTATACCTGGTTAAAGATGTGAAACGCAGTATTCCCTTAAAGAATGTGTGTAAATAAAACATTACTGTAAGGGATCGGGGGTTGGCAGGATCTAGACAGAGTCTGACACTTCCCCGATCTACTGAGAGGGGGAGTCATCAGACTCGATCTGGTTCACCTGAGTTCTGAGCACACCTGTCAGTAATTAGTGTAGGATTTAAGGTGTGCTCAGAAGCTCAGTCGGCGAGAGAGAGAGAGAGAGTTTGTTGTTTTTGATTACCCGTGTATCCGACCTGTGCCTTGTTGTTTGACTCCCCGAATTGCTTAATCCTCTACTTGTCTACCCCAGTGATTACCGTTCTCTGATCCTGTGCCTGTGACCTCGACTACGACTAAGCCCGCTCCTTTGGTACCTCTGCCTGTCTATGCCTGGCCCGGTTTTGACCACAGCCCGCCCGACCACGATTAAGCTATTCCCTTGTCTGTACTCTAATAAAGCATCGCTATTCTGCGATTGGATCTTACCACTCTGTCCGAGTATTCATTACAGAATACCTCGCCATTACCATGGATCCAGCGGAATTACAGAGGCGATGGGAGATACAGGAGAAACGCATGGATGAACTCCTACAGCTACTCAACGCTGGTGCAGCGGAAGGCACCACCCCGAGTACGGTCAGTCCTCGTCATGCACCTCCGATTTCTATACCGACAAGGTACGACGGGGAACCTGGCAAATGTCAGGGGTTTCTACTCCAGATGTCCCTGTATATGTCGTATAATAGTACTATGTTTTCCGATGACCGTAGCAGGGTGGATTTCATGATTTCTCTGCTAACGGGAAGAGCACTGGATTGGGCTACTGCGCTTTGGGCAGCTGAGGTCCCCGAGTTGAATGCGGAAGTTCAGTTCAAGAGACTGTTTCAAGAGGTGTTCGACCACCCAGTATCTGGGCGTTGTGTGGGAGACCAACTATGCGAACTTCAGCAGGGCCGTCGCACAGTAGCCGACTACGCTTTAGAGTTCCGTACTATAGCAGCCGGTAGCGGATGGAGCGAAACTGCTTTGCTCACAGTTTTCCGAAGAGGGCTGCGCCAAGACGTACAGACTGAGTTGGCTTGTCGAGGAGATATCACTGCGCTACATGAGTTTATCAAAATAGCCATCTCTATTGATAATCTTATAGTGCAACACAAGGCATCCACAGTCCGGGAGCCCTCGATCACTGGTCCTATGCAATCGACAGAGCGGAGGAGAGAATCTGAGGAGGAACCTATGCAACTGGGACGGTCACCTCTACAAGGTTCAGTGAGACAACAACGTCGGCAAGACGGACTATGCCTGTATTGTGGTCAGGCGGGTCATTTCGTTCGTCAATGTCCGGTACGACCTAACCGTACCCCAGGATATCGCCTCGGAACTGCCAAACCGGTGAGTGAGACTCCAGTGTTGAACATTACATCTAAACAAATGTATGTGCCTGTTACCTTATCTGTCGGAGAGAAAGTGCGCAGGTTGGAAGGACTTATTGATTCCGGAGCGGCTGCCAGCTTTCTGGATATGGGTCTTGCTGAGGAGTTGGGAGTTCAACTTATCCCAATTCAACCTCCCCTGCGAGTCAACGCGCTAGACGGTGAGCCCATGGGCACTGGGTTCATTACGCACCGTACCGGGGAAATCAAGTTACAAGTGGGCTCCCTGCACCATGAGAACATAATTCTGTTCGTCATCTCCGCTCCACGGGAGCCGCTAGTCCTCGGCCATCCCTGGCTCGTTACCCATGATCCGGTCATCTCCTGGAAATCTGGCGATATCACGGCTTGGAGTGAGGTATGTAGGGCTGAGTGCCTCATTTTACCTTGCAAAACGTCTACTGTGGAGGATGCGAAGGGTGCGGTGTCTACTGTTGTTCCTACAGAGTACCAGGATTACGCGCAGGTGTTCTCCAAGGAGAGGGCTACCGTGTTACCACCGCATCGGGCCTGGGATTGTGCAATTGATCTGCTATCCGGGGCTACCCCTCCTCGCGGACGAATCTACCCTTTGTCTCAGCCGGAACGGGAATCAATGAGCAAGTATATTGATGAGGCACTTCAGCAAGGGGCCATTCGCCCATCTACGTCTCCCGCCGCATCCAGTTTCTTCTTTGTTAAGAAAAAGGATGGCGGACTTCGTCCTTGTATAGACTATCGAGGTTTGAACGATATCACCATAAAAAATCGTTACCCCCTTCCTTTGATTCCAGCGGCCCTCGAGCAGGTGGGGCAGGCCTCCATCTACAGTAAACTGGACCTCAGGAGTGCGTACAATCTGGTGCGCATTAGAGAGGGGGATGAATGGAAGACCGCCTTCATCACCCATCGAGGACATTATGAATATTGTGTTATGCCCTATGGACTTACTAACGCGCCCTCTGTGTTCCAGGCGTTCATGAATGAAATTTTTAGGGACTTGATTGATCGTTTCGTCATAGTGTACATTGATGACATCCTAATCTACTCTTAACTCTCTGAGTGAACATGTGTCCCATGTACGACAGGTTCTGGACCGACTCCGCCAACACTCTCTGTTCGTGAAGGCCGAGAAGAGTGAATTCCATGTCACGACGATTTCCTTCCTTGGGGCCATACTCACTCCCGACGGGGTAAGACTGGATGAATCCAAGGTACAAGCTGTACGAGACTGGCCTCAACCCCAGACGGTGAAAGAGCTTCAGAGATTCTTGGGGTTTGCCAATTACTATAGACGGTTCGTGCGTAATTTCAGCACCACTGCAGCTCCCCTGTCGGCGATGACCAGCCACAAGGGGCGTGGTCTGAAATGGACGGAGGGGGCAGTGCGGGCTTTTGAGACATTGAAACAACGATTTACCACCGTCCCCATTTTGTGTCAGCCGGATCCTACCTTGCCGTTCATCGTGGAGGTGGACGCCTCGGAGGTTGGAGTTGGAGCCGTGCTATCCCAGCGCCAAGGTGAGCCGCCCAAATCACGACCCTGTGCTTTTTTTTCTAAAAAGCTGAATCCGGCCGAGCAGAACTACGACGTGGGAAATCGTGAATTGCTGGCGGTGAAGTTAGCACTGGAGGAGTGGAGACATTGGCTGGAGGGAGCAGCTCATCCGTTCCAAGTGCTCACGGACCACCGCAATCTGGAGTATCTTCACAGTGCTAAACGACTGAACTCCCGACAGGCAAGGTGGTCTTTGTTCTTCAACCGTTTCCAATTCACTGTCTCTTATATTCCCGGGTCCAATAATTGTAAGGCGGACGCGCTTTCCCGACGGTTCGAGCGCGCGGACAGACCGGTTGAACCAGAACCTATCCTCCCCATGAGTTGCCGTGCTGGTCCTGTGAGGTGGGCTATCGATGACACGATTCAGGAGAGCCTACAAGCGGAACCAGCCCCTCCAGAAACCCCGGTGTCGAAGGTGTTTGTACCAGCTCCGCTTCGACCTCAACTGATGGAATGGTGCCACACGTCGCTAGGATCTGGTCATCCCGGAATCACTCGAACTACTCGACTCATCAGTCGAAAATACTGGTGGGATTCCCTCACAGATGACGTCCGAGACTACGTATTATCCTGCCCAGTTTGTGCTCAGTCCAAGGCGCCTCGAGCACTACCGGAGGGCAAGCTGATGCCATTGCCAACTCCTCAACGACCCTGGTCGCACATCGCGATGGACTTTGTTACCGACCTACCAGAATCAGAGGGCCATACTGTAATTCTCGTGGTCATCGATCGATTCTCAAAGATGTGTCGGTTAGTACCCATGACCCGTTTACCTAACGCCACTCAAATGGCGGAGACTATGTTTAACCAGGTGTTCCGGCAGTTTGGTGTTCCAGAGGATATTGTTTCCGACCGGGGACCCCAGTTCGTATCCCGGGTTTGGAAGGCCTTCTGCGAACGCTTGGGTATCTCGGTGAGCCTCACCTCCGGATATCATCCCCAGGCCAATGGGCAGACCGAACGGCTCAACCAGGAAATTGGGAAGTATCTACGGCAACAATGTTCGCGGCAGCCGCAAGAGTGGAGCCGATTCCTTCCTTGGGCAGAGTATGCTCAGAACTCACTCATTCACACCTCCCTACGTCTAACGCCCTTTCAGTGTGTTCTAGGGTATCAACCACCCCTGTTCCCGTGGGATACCGCACCCGGGATGGTACCGGCGGTGGACGAGTGGTTCCGTCGGAGTGCGCAGGTCTGGGAGACGGCCCATCAACATCTCAGTCAAGCCTCACAGCAGCAAAAGACCTATGCCGACCGACGCCGGAGACCTACTCCCACTTATCAAACCGGACAACGAGTGTGGCTGTCTACCCGAGACCTGCGGTTCCGACGGAGCTGCAAGAAGCTCCAACCCAGGTACATTGGTCCTTTCAAAGTTCAGAGACGTATTAACCCTGTCACCTGCCGTCTGTTACTCCCTCGACACTACAGGATAAACCCTACGTTCCACGTCTCCCTGTTGAAACCTGTCCATTATAGCCCGATGTATCCACCAATCGCTCAACAACCTACTACACCACCTTTGGAGGATGAACAGGACACCACCTATACAGTCCACGAGATACTGGAGTCAAGACGGAGACGAGGGGGCATCGAATATCTCGTGGACTGGGAGGGATATGGACCTGAGGAACGGTCCTGGGTTCCGGCTAAGGACATACTGGATCCCGCTCTCAAGGCCACTTTCCACGCTGAGCACCCAGATCATCCAGGACCCCGACCCAGAGGAAGACCACCCGGTAGAGGTAGAAGGCCGTCAGGAGCCGGCCCTGGGGAGGGGGATACTGTAAGGGATCGGGGGTTGGCAGGATCTAGACAGAGTCTGACACTTCCCCGATCTACTGAGAGGGGGAGTCATCAGACTCGATCTGGTTCACCTGAGTTCTGAGCACACCTGTCAGTAATTAGTGTAGGATTTAAGGTGTGCTCAGAAGCTCAGTCGGCGCGAGGTATTGTTCCATTGTGACTTGCTAAGCGTTTTGTTCCGAGAGAGAGAGAGAGTTTGTTGTTTTTGATTACCCGTGTATCCGACCTGTGCCTTGTTGTTTGACTCCCCGAATTGCTTAATCCTCTACTTGTCTACCCCAGTGATTACCGTTCTCTGATCCTGTGCCTGTGACCTCGACTACGACTAAGCCCGCTCCTTTGGTACCTCTGCCTGTCTATGCCTGGCCCGGTTTTGACCACAGCCCGCCCGACCACGATTAAGCTATTCCCTTGTCTGTACTCTAATAAAGCATCGCTATTCTGCGATTGGATCTTACCACTCTGTCCGAGTATTCATTACAATTACATTCGAAAAGAGCATGACCATTTCAACAGACGTCTAACACTATCTAACACATATTTAAATGTCTTCCCACCGTCTAGGTTCTGCAGAGGCTGATCAAGTCCAGAGGGAAGTCCCAGAGCAAGCATCTGAACGTACAGCTGGTGGCAGCTGACAAACTAGCCCAGTGTCCTCCGGTGAGTGACTCTAACAGCACACTGTTTCTTTAATCTACACCACCCAGCATACTGTCTCTTTAATCTACACCACCCAGCATACTGTCTCTTTAATCTACACCACCTAGCATACTGTCTCTTTAATCTACACCACCCAGCATACTGTCTCTTTAATCTACACCACCTATCATACTGTCTCTTTAACCTACACCACCCAGCATACTGTCTCTTTAATCTACACCACCCAGCATACAGCATACTGTCTCTTTAATCTACACCAACCAGCATACAGCATACTGTCTCTTTAATCTACACCACCCAGCATACTGTTTCTTTAATATACAGCACCCAGCATATAGCATACTGTCTCTTTAATCTACACCACCCAGCATACAGCATACTGTCTCTTTAATCTACACCACCCAGCATACTGTCTCTTTAATCTACACCACCTAGCATACTGTCTCTTTAACCTACACCACCCAGCATACTGTCTCTTTAACCTACACCACCTATCATACTGTCTCTTTAATCTACACCACCCAGCATACTGTCTCTTTAATCTACACCACCCAGCATAATGTCTCTTTAATCTACACCACCCAACATACTGTCTCTTTAATCTACACCACCCAGCATACAGCATACTGTCTCTTTAATCTACACCAACCAGCATACAGCATACTGTCTCTTTAATCTACACCACCCAGCATACTGTTTCTTTAATATACAGCACCCAGCATATAGCATACTGTCTCTTTAATCTACACCACCCAGCATACAGCATACTGTCTCTTTAATCTATACCACCCAGCATACTGTCTCTAATCTACACCACCTAGCATACAGTCTCTTTAACCTACACCACCCAGCATACTGTCTCTTTAACCTACACCACCCAGCATACTGTCTCTTTAAAAACCACCCACCCAGCATACGCTCTTTAATCTCACCCCCCAAGGATATTTTCTTTTAAATAACACCCCCCAGTACTGTCTTTTTTAATCACACCACCCCCATACAGCATACTGTCTTTTTAAATCACACCAACCAGCATAAAAGCATACTGTCTCTTTATCACACCCCCCAGTTTGTTTCTTTTTTTACGCACCCACATATAGCTTTGTTTTTTTAAATCAAAACCCCCCCAGCATACAGATTTATGTCTCTTTAATCTATACCCCCCACATACTGTCTCTTTAATCTCCCACCTAGATAAGTCTCTTTAACCTTAACCCCCTAATACTGTCTCTTTCCCCTACCCCCCCACCCCAACTGTTCTTAAAACACCACCCAGCATAGTTTTTAAAACATAACCCCGCATACTGTCTTTTTTATCTACCCACCTTCATACTGTCTTTTTTAATAAAACCCCCCTGATCGCCCTTTTTAAATCACCCCCCCAGCTTTAGATACGTCTCTTTAATCTACACAACCCACCCAAAAATTTACTGTCTCTTTAATCACACCACCCGTAGTCTCTTTAATCTACCCCACATATCATATGTCTCTTAATCTAACCACCCAGATACTGTCTCTTTAACATACACCCCCCGCATATGCATCGGTTCTTAATCTACACCCCCAGATACGCATATGTCTCTTTAATCACACCACCCAGCTGCTACTGTCTCTTTAATCTCACCCCCGCTCAGAAATGTTCTTTAATCTACACCACCTACATACTGCTTTTAACATACACCCCCACAACTGTCTCTTTAATTACACACCAGAAGTCTCTTTAATCTAACCACTAGCATAGTTTTTTTTAAAACCTAACCACCCAGCATATGTCTCTTTAACCTCCCACCCAGATACTGTCTCTTAACCTACCCCCAACATACTGTTCAAAAATCTAAACCCAGCTACAGCATACTGTCTTTTTAAATTACCCACCCGCAACGCATACGTTTTTTTAACTAAAAAAAACCCCCAGATCTGTCTCTTTTTTTACCCCACCTACATACCCCACCCGATACTGTCTCTTTCTACACCACCCAGCATACGTCTTTTTAATTACACCACCCGCATACAGCATCTGTCCTTTAATCTACCCCAACCCAGCAAAGCAAGTCTCTTTAATCTAACCACCCCAACGTTTTTTTAAAATTACAGACCCAGATATAGCTATGTCTTTTTAATCTACACCCCCCCAGCTCAGCATACTGTCTCTTAATTTCCCCCAGCTTTACTGTCTCTTTAATTACACCACTGCATCCAGTTTTTTAACCTCACCCCTACATACGTTCTTTAACCCTACCCCCCCGCATACTGTTTTTTAAAACACCACCCAGCATAGTCTTTTTAATTTTACACCCCCCAGATACTTCTTTTAATCTACACCACCTTCATACTGTTTTTTAATACACCACCCTGTACTGTCTTTTTAACACACCCCCCAGCTATAGCTACTGTCTCTTTAATCAACCACCCAGCATACAGCATAGTCTTTTTTAATCTAAACCACCCACCTACTGTTTTTTAATTACCCCAAATCAAAAGTCTCTTAATCTACCCACCCAGCATACTGTCTCTTTAACTAACACCCCATATGATATTCTTTAATCTACAGCCCCAGCTACAGCATACTGTCTTTTTAATCTCACCACCAGCATACACTACTGTTTTAACAAACCCCACCGCATACAGCATACTGTCTCTTTAATCACACCACCAGCATTGTCTTTTAAAATACCCCCCCCAGCTTTGCTTTTTAATCACAGCCCACTACTGTTTCTTTAACACACCACCTAGCAAAAGTCTCTTTAACCTACACCCCCACATACTGTCTTTTTAACCTACCCCCCCAATACGGGTCCTTTAACCACACCCCCCAGCATATGTCTTTTTAATCTACAGCACCAGCATACAGCATACTGTCTCTTTAATTACCCCCCCCCCAAAATACGCATACGCCCTCTTTAATCTACAGCACCCCAGCATACTGTCTCTTTAATCTACACCACCCAGCATACCAGCATACTGTCTCTTTAAATCTACACACCACCCAGCATACTGTCTCTTTAATCTACACCACCTACATACACACCCCGCCATACTGTCTCTTTAATCTACACCACCCAGCATACTGTCTCTTTAATCTACTGCACCCAGCATACAGCATACTGTCTCTTTAATCTACAGCACCCAGCATACAGCATACTGTCTCTTTAATCCACACCACCCAGCATACTGTCTCTTTAATCTACACCACCCAGCATACTGTCTCTTTAATCTACACTACCCAGCATACTGTGTCTTTATTCTACACCTCCCAGCATATTGTCTTTAATCAACACCACCCAGCATACTGTCTCTTTAATCTACACCACCCAGCATACTATCTCTTTATTATTTAATCTACAGCACCCAGCATACTGTTTCTTTAATCATCACCATCCAGCATACTATCTCTTTAATATACTGCACCCATTGCTCCTTTTCATGGTGTCTTCTTGCTACATTCACCTCCAACAATGTCTCCCTATGTTTGCTTGAGGTTGATCCAAGACAGGGCCCTTAAAGGTTATTAAAATCAAGTGACAAAATGACTTAATCTGTTTGTTGGGGTGACCGGGGTTTGAACCCAGGTTTTCTGTGAAGCACAAGACAGCCTTTAGTTTAGGGAGCTAACAAAAGCAGCCAGCCCTGCGTTTCCACCCCCCAAAACCCGTTACCTTTCAACCAAAGAACGAAACCTTCCTCATCCCCCGCACCCCCCCCCCCCCACCCCCCACACCCCACCCCCCCGCCCCCCAAAACCCCCCCCCCAAACCCAAAAACCCCCCCCCCCCCGGGCCCCCCCCCACCCCCCCCCACCCCCCCCACCCCCCCCAACCCCCCCGGGGCCCAAAAAAGGGCCCCCCCCAAAACCCCCCGCCCCCCCCAGCCGGGGCCCCCCACCCCCCCCCAACCCCCCCCCCCCCCCCCCCCCCCCCCCACCCCCCAAACCCCCCCCCCCCGGGCCCCCCAAAAAAACCCCCGCCCCGTAGAACATGCAAAGCCAGTATGAAAAGTACAAACGAGAGGGCGAACGGATCTCACGAAGCCTCCCAAGGAAGGCCCCCGAGAACCCAAGCGAGAATACCTCTCACTCCTCTCAAATACGAGCCCTACCTCTAGCCGGAGGGGAATCCAGCCTCAGACATGCACAGAGCTCGCTCCCGGCGCCATCACCCGCCAAAGCCTCATTCCCTGCCCCCCCTCCCCTCCCTCTCACTGAGACCGTCTCCCCCCCTCCCTCCCTCTCCCTCCCTCGCCCTTATCCTTCACCCTTCTCCCTCTCCCTCTCTCTCTCTCTCTCTCTCTTTTACCCCCTCTGACAGGAGATGTTTGACATCATCCTGGATGAGAACCAGTTGGAGGATGCGTGTGAACACCTAGCTGAGTACCTGGAGGCCTACTGGAAAGCCACCCACACCTCCATGGCCACGCCGCTCAACCCCCTGCTGGGACGCAACCTGGGCCCCACTGCCCTCACTCCTTACCCCACCACCATCTCTGGACTGCAGGTTGGTCATAAACAGATAGCTACAGCGCTATGGGGTTAAAGGGACTGTCTCCCCTTAAAGGGACAAACTTTCAAAGTTGACTTTGGAGTGTGATGTTCCTTTAAGGGGAGACAGTTCATTGTTCTAAGTTAGATTAGTTGATTAGTGCCCAGTGTAACATACAGAAATGATTAGTGCCCAGTGTAACAAAAAGGGGTTGTTTGTGTGTGTATGAGGTGAACCAGCAGACTCAAAGAATGAGACAACACAGCAACCACACGGGAGACCACTCCACGCCCAACGAGCGTCGCAACCTGATGACCGCCGACGAGAACTACCACAACGAGCGGGCGCACAAGGGACGCAACCGCATGTCGTCGGGCTCGCAGCACAGCCGAGACCAAGACCCGTACCACCAGGACTACCAGGACCCCTACCAAGACTCCTACAAGCCCCACCGCAACCGCTCCTCCCCGGGCAGCTACAGCCATGACTCCCGGCACAGGCTTTGAGCCCGAATGATGTCTCAGCTTCACAACCCTTATAGCCCTCAAGTCAACCCTCCGGTGGCAACAGAGCCAAAATGGTTCCCACTCAAAATATTGTGTCAAATTTTGTTGTTTTCAATTATTTGTTTTACTTCAGGCGTTTGATGAGAAGTAGTCCCGCACTCCCGAACAAAATCTCCAGTCACCTCTCATTCCCATTCTGTCTCTCAGTCTTGCCTGGGCACTGGCAGGGACCCCTGTCAAGCAACATGTGGTCAGGATGAGGAAGAAGGACATGATGCTAATGCTACATAACTGAGTTAATACAACTCATGTGACTGAGTTGTTTTTCCTCATAAGGGGACCTTTCCAGTTCCCTTATACCCCACACAGAGAGATGGGTTGAAGGGGATAGCAGTGTGAGATTTATATTTGGACTTTGCTAAGCTAACAACAAGCTAAGATATTTTAGCTAGCATGGTTAGATTGTGGGTACATGTGTAGTGCTAAACTTGAAGTGCTTGAGAGCCCCCCCAATGAGTCGCCATAGCACGTGGTGGAGTCACTGCTGAAAGCTGGTAGTCTTACCAAGAGTCCCCAGACCATTCAGTTGTTTGCATGCTGACTGAGAGAGTATCGTCAGTATATCCACTTACAGTACGTGTCAGTTGTCATGGGGAGTTGTATGCTAAGCCGTGCCCCACCATGACTGGCAGTGGTCTTTTTCGAGACCTCAACTGATTCCTGAGAGGAGCATGTGGAGTATTTGGTTGTTTTGTTAACCAGTGCTTTCACATGTCAGATACGGTATGTGCCATTTGAACACTTGTCTAGCTTGGCCTTTCTTGTAGCTTAGTTAGTGTGATATGATTTGGAGTGGACGGGTGCTCTCAAGCTGGCCACATCCAGTGGAACCACGGATAAACTCGGCAACAGTCGATACTTTGCATATCTCAGTATTTTTCACTACTCTGATTCGGTTGCGTCAGAGCCTCATAGAGGTATTATAACAAGAAGCAGGGGTGTCAACCAATCAGAGCTCGTCTCATCTCTGGCCAGCCTCGGGATTGGTTGACCGTCCATGCTGCTTCCTGTGTTTCTTCTCTGGCCAACCTTGTGATTGGTTGACCGTCCATGCTGCTTCCTGTGTTTCTCTCTGGCCAGCCTCGTGATTGGTTGACCGTCCATGCTGCTCCACTAACGTTGGATTGTGTCTTCCCAGGGTCCTTTGCATCATGTTAATTGATTCTCTGTGTAGCTGGCATGTTTTCCCTGACTTGAAAAAGGCATGCTCCCTTTGGTAGTAATATCCCTGTGTAAAATAGAGGAGGGTGTTTAAGGAGGGAGAGCACACATTGGTGCAAAATAGGTGCAGTCTAATTACTTGAGAGTGCATCATCTGAACATTTTTGGGGTAATTGAATACATGAAAATGGAAATGGAAGAAATTCATTCGGTCAGTTTATTTCTAGCAACAATTTTTGTGATTTTATTTTGTTCTTAATGAGATAAGAAGCATTCAGTTGTATCCAAGGTGGTTTGTTGACTAGAGTTGCATTGGCTCCCCGATCCAATACCTAGGCTTTAGTTTAGTGGGCTAATGCACTCTTCTGGTGTGCAGGAGGCCTGGGTTCGAACCCGGTCGGTCACAGAGACACAACCACCCTCCAGGACCAGGGTTTGCCCTGCGGTGGATAGGTCATCTAAACTGGAGCTTTGACCAAGATGGAGATGGTGGTCCCTCTCTGTGCATCCTGGGAGAGTGAGTTCTTGGGGCAGCGTATTCTGAGTTAGAGAGATGTGCAGAGTTAACTTGTTAGCTGTCTTTTAGTGTAATTCCCTCCAATAGAGTTGATGTACTGTACTGACATTTGTAGCACCCGCATCAGCTGATGCCTTAACATGATAAAACAAGAAAGAACCTCTGAAAGGATAGGGTCTTAATTATGATTTAGCTCCAACTGTCTGGTTAGGGCGCTGACTTTGATTTCAGAGAGCCAGTTGATTTCCTTGCTCATATCTATGTCTCTTATGCTAGTTTGTTCACTGACTGAAAACAAAAGACTGCCAACGAAGAAGAAGAAAAAAGAATACAAGTACATCTGCTGTCGTTTATGAGCATGCTTCTCTGTCATATTGTGATTCAGGCCAAAGTGAGTGTTGGCTGATTGAATGGGGAGTTACTCACCATTAAAAACCAGAACCAAGAACCACAACCAAGATTCAGCTCTGTTGCTTGAGACAATCAGAGGGGTTTTTCTAGACCATTCACCTCTCTCCCACCAGAGTCCCAGAGCAGTTTGTGAGGGTGTGGTAACTTGGGTTACTGGTACTGGGTGTAGCATGTCTACCCCTGTTGTGACATTGGGGGCGTCTCCTTTTCTATTCAAAATGAATTAACTGAATTCCAATTGATTTTCTGAATTGACTGGAAGTGAATTGAAAATTTACCCCATCTCTTTTCCCTGTGAATGCCCTGGAAAGAAAACATTTCAAACAATCAAAGATATTGTTCTTTGAATGGTGTAGATATCATTTCTAAAGGTCTCTGTTACTGATCAGAAAAAAAGCACGAGTCCTGTACTCTTCTTTTGTCTTCTTGTAAAAAATTAAGAGGCTTAATTTTTGCCTCTAAATTAAGTTTCATTACAATTCTCATGATTTGATTCAATAACATGGGTTTAAACTCGACCAGACCATTAAAACAGTTAAATGTTTTTTTCTTTGGTAAAAATGTACAAAAAATAAAAAAGAAGAAAAACTCTAACATTTATCACAATATATGAAAAAGTAATAGATACATCTTTGCTGGTGATTATTTTTATAAAAATACATAAATGTACATAATGTCTTTGAGAGATGCTATTTGCTGTATACTTGCATTCTCATTAAAAACTACGATCCTCGACGGGACAAGTTGGAACAACACAAACGTTTCAGTATACAAAAAGTTTCAGTAATGTGCAATACAAAAAAGGCATGCTGTTTTAAATGAGGAAATTCCATGTACTATGCAACCGCAACCGTGTACATCGCTTCATGCTGTGACTAATTCTCCAACTGTCCTTTTCCAAGCAGCTTCATCAGAACTCTTAAGGACATTTTGTGTTGATACTTTTTGTGGAAGACGAAAAACTCAACGGCTAATGCGGTATTGCATGCATAATGTACCATTTTAATTTATTAAAACTAATGAAAATAAAATAATGTGAAATGCGAGATGATTGTGTCAAAGGCGAAGCTAGAAGTAACTTAAACGTTTTTCTTTTACAAAATAAAAGAGTCGTTCTACAACAACTGTCTCAGGTAACTTTTTATGATGTATTATCTATGTAGGCTTTTATTATTTGTTATAAATATGTTACGTAGCAACATATTGTACCTACCAAATAGAATCTAATTCTAGTTCTGTGGTACCTACAATGAGGAATCCCACACTTAAAAGGCCCCTGTTGTTGACAATGAAAATGTCGTGCAGTACACGAATAAACCACACAGTGGCACTGTCTACTAATATTACAGTATATCAAGTCTCATTTCAGTAAGGGCTGCCCTGGCAAAGCCTGGTGGAAACCGACTGATCGCTGCACTCACCATTCTGATTAACCTCACGTATTATCTCCTAATTAAAAGATTATTGATATATGAAGTGAAATAGAAAGGTGAACGGCGTGATCAGGGTGGTTTCACCAGGCTAGCGCTGTCATAGGCTACCGCTCCTGTAAATCCATGCGTTATCTTCACAGAGGAAAAGGTCTGATCCAGAGCTGATCCAACTCAAGCTCATACAGTAAATATAGTACAGGACAACATTAATCTGATTTTGATCTGATTTATTTTGCACTGAGCTGTCAATGATATCCAGAGATCTGCTGTGCTTGTGGGTTTGACAGATGAAGAGGGAGTCACGCAGAAAGGATCCCTAGAGAGAGGAACATCATGTTGAACTATGGGCGTTTGTCTTTGGATGCATCCATTCATTGCCCACCTATGTGTGTGTGTGACTGTGTGCATGTGAAACCCTGTACAGTTTTCTATAACAGTCCCTTTCAGAGTATGTGCAGAACTCCTTAGCTGCCTGAAGCAGGTTGATTATGTAACTGGAGAGTGAGGACAGAGACACAGCAATGAGATAGCACTGTCAGGATGGTTTATCCACACCACTGCTCAAGACCTTTAGGTCTACTTCCTGGGTGGTTCCCAGTAGGGCACATGGTAACAACATGTCTTGTAAATAGTAAATACTAATCTGTGTTCCTATTGGACAAGTTCAGGTTGGGGCTATGGTAGTACCTCACCGTTTCAAAACGTTAACTCTCCCTACCACACAACTCTACCCTCTGCCTACTGAACAACACAACTCTCCCTACCACACAACTCTACCCTCATTCCTCCACAGTTAGGGTTGTAAAGCTACCGGTAATTTACCAAAGTTAATTGAATCTTCTGTAATTTAGGTAATTAACAGGTTATCTAAATTTATGTATCATATTTTTTATTTATTTGTATCTGTGTCCATATTGTCCATGAGATTTAAGTGGATAGACCATATGGTTCAAGAGAAAATAGCCTAATTAATGAGAAAAGTATCTAATCAATAGTATTTTTAACAACTGCAATTCAACCAACTACTGACTTTTTTCACAACTGCCACCAGTTTGGCGCAAAGATATTTACTACAAAGATATATTAACATAACTAAATAAATAAAAGTGTACATTTTTTTGAAAGGATATTTCAGGCTGAAACCCTCATATTAAACACAAATGGTATCCACTATGGTTTATATTTAGGACAATGTTTTACAGCTTTGTCATCATTTTTTGTTGTTGGTATCATCTTAATTGATTATTTTACATGTGATAAGGCCACACTGAGGGCCAGAGATAATTACAGATATCTGTGATAATCTGAAGTACCCCGAAAAGGCCACTAGATGTCATTTTATAAAATTAAAATATTTTTTTTTGAAAGCTACCAAAATTCTGGTAGTTTACTGGTAAACGTTTCCAGTAATATACCATTCCTTTGCAAACCTATCCACAGTCCTCAGCACAAGCCTTTCCCTCGATAGCTAATCCGCCTCAAAATAGGGCCACTATCTCAGCGGAATCAACTGAAGCCCTGACCTGGCATAGCTCTGACCACATATATGGTTCTGGCTCTGACTGGTGTTAGGTAGGACAGAGAGGTGTGTGGAGGGGGTTGGTCTGAAAGGAGAGCTCAAATACACTAAGGAAAAAGAAGGAACAGCAAGTCAGAAAACAGCTCAATGTCACTTAAGAATCCATAGAATCTAACCACCTCTGGGAAAATTGGAACAGACTAAACAAACAACAACATGAAGAACTATCTATCCAAAATGGAGATGTATGGATAAACCCCTTCTCCAATCGTTTTGGCCCTATACCAAAGAACAAACAGCTAAAACATATACATGATCAATTACAAATCTTAGAATCAGCTATTATTGACTACCAGAACCCACTGGATTCTCCAATTACATTGTATGAACTACAGGAGCAAATACAAATCCTCTAACCCAAAAAGGCCTGTGGTGTTGAAACCACCCCAATCCACAAAAGTGGAGACAAATTTGACCCCAATAACTACCGTGGGATCTGCATCAACAGCAACCGTGGCGGTTTATGGTAGAGAAATGTACAATTTCCCCTGGACAGCTGATGAAACTGTGGGTTTGCACAAGCGAATAATTTCTGCACAAACTGTCAGAAACCATCTCAGGGAAGCTCATCTGCGTGCTCGTCGTCCTCACCAGGGTCTTGACCTGACTGTAGTTCGGCGTCGTAACCAACTTCAGTGGGCAAATGCTCAGTTTCGATGGCCGCTGGCACGCTGGAGAAATGTGCTCTTCACGGATAAATCCCAGTTTCCGCGGTACCGGGCAGATGGCAGACATGTATGGCATCGTGCGGATGAGCGGTTTGCTGATGTCAACGTTGTGAACAGAGTGCCCTATGGTGGCGGTGGGTTTATGGTATAGGCAGGACAATTGCATTTTATCTATGGCCATTTTAATGCACAGAGATACTGTGACGAGATCCTGAGGCCCATTGCAGTGACATTCATCTGCTGCCATCACCTCATGTTTCAGCATGATAATGCATGTCGCAAGGATCTGTAAACAATTCCTGGAAGCTGAAAATGTCCCAGTTCTTCTATGCGAAGGAGATGTGTCGTGCTGCATGAGGCAAATGGTGGTCACACCAGATAGTGACTGGTTTTCTGATCCACGCCCCTACCTTTTTTTAAAGGTATCTGTGACCAACAGATACATATCTTTATTCCCAGTCATGTGAAATCCATAGATTAGGGACTAATTAATTTATTTCAATTGACTGATTTCCTCATATGAACTGTAACGCAGTAACATCTTCGAAATTGTTTCATGTTGCGTTTATATTTTTGTTTAGTGTATTTAGGGCTTATGGCTTGGGGGTAGAAGCTGTTTGGGAGCCTTTTGGTCCCAGACGTAGCACTCCGGTATCGTTTGCCGTGTGGTAGCAGAGAGAACAGTCTATGACTTGGGCGGCTGGAGTCTTCTTCTTCTGACACCGCCTGGGATAGAGGTCCTGAATGGCAGAGACTTCAACTCCAGTGATGTACTGTGCCCTACTCACTACCCTCTGTAGCACCTTGCAGTCGGATGCCGAGCAGTTGCCATACCAACTGGTGATGCAGCCAGTCAAGATGCTCTCAATGGTGCAGCTGTATAACTTTTTGAGGATCTGAGGGCCCATGCCAAATCTTTTCAACCTGAGGGGGGAGAGGCGTTGTCGTGCCCTCTTCACGACTGTGTTGGTGATTTTGGACCATGATAGGTCCTTAGTGATGTGGACACAGAGGAACTTGAAGCTCTCGACCCGCTCCACTACAGCCTCGTCGATGTGAATGGGGGCGTGCTCGGCCCTCCGTTTCCTGTAGTCCACGATCAGCTCCATTGTCTTGCCCTTGCTGAGGGAGAGGTTGTTCTTAGCACTACACAGCTGATTCAAATAATCAAAGGACTCGTTTTGAAAGTTGGTTCATCTTATCCTTTGAGGCTTTAAAAGTGTTCTTACACTGTGATTTTGAACATTCAAAGCAACTGGGAAACATCCATGGCAGCCATTGTTGTCACCTTAGCTTGCTACATAACTTCTGGGTGATAGGAACCTACGAGCACCACCACCAATCAGCCTGCACCACTGTGCACACACCCATTGTTACTACGACGTTTTTCCTACAGTATGACAACTAGCGTAACCATGACAGCAAATGATTGCTGTCTGAACACACACAAATCCAATCTGGTCACTTGTAACTTGCTGTTTGGACAGTCAGGATTCCAAAACGGATTTGAAAAACCAAACTGATTTGAGCATTAAAGCCTGCAGTGTGAACAAGGCTTAAGCACAGGCGTCAATTTAAATGCCACATCTTATTGCCTGTTCTTTATAGGACTATTGTAACACTGTATCCTGACATCAGGAATGTGTGAGATTTTGTATATTGTTATACATTCATAAGAAGTAGAATTCAATCAAAAAGACCAACTCAACTTGAACCACAGTAACGCATCACTGAAAGTTAGATTGGTTGGTCAGAATAGGAAGAGACTCAATACAACAGTTTGAAGCAGAAAGTATAGTTTATTGTGTCCAGTATAAGAAAATCAACCAAAAGCAGTGGAAGGCACACATTGTATCTGGGGGGAAGGGGGGGGATTGTCACTTATACAAGTGCCAGCAAACCTCAACGTCGTGGACAAGACACCCCCTAATCCACATATAGACAGACGATCATATCAAAATATACTGGTACACAGGTGTGACGCCGACACCGCCCACCACTCAGTCAACAAGATGGTCTTTCTTGGTTCCAACCCACTGCCTTAATACGGTGTCCATATTCGGACAGCCTCAGTCTTTGCAGGACTTGACAGACAACTCCTGCGGTGACTGAGGCTGTGTCCTAATATGGACACCGTAACTTCTTGACAAGAATTAAAGGATGCAAACCAGTTACCAGGCAAAACTTTCCAGCTTCTACAACATCAAAACAAATTACTTTGCAAAAATATATTCATATATACATTTACATTTTAGATGTTTTGTTTCATATACTCCCCGATAAACTTTACAAAAAGCAGAACACTTTTGAATGGTACAGCGATAGGATGGTACAGCTTTCTGTGAGAAAACATAATGCGAAGAGAAGAGTCGCCCCGTTTAGCTTCATATTGGCAGAGTTATAGTTTTTGGAGAAGGGACTGCATGACAGTTGCAGTACTTTTGTCATCATCATAGTACATAAACATGTATTTTCAATACACACTTTTTTATATGAAGTCAACGCTTCAGGAAAAATACTGTTTTGTATGCGTGTCCCTTTTACATGTTACAACAAAATTAGTAAAAGAAAAGATCTAAACAAAACGTCATGGAAAGATACATCTGGTAGGACATGTCAGCATCAGGGGTCAAAGAGCATCGTGAAGGTTTTACATTTTTGGTGAGAGAAAAACAATTCCCAGAGTCAGAAATATGAATAGAAAGCTGAGCTAGCGAGTACAGTCCTGAGTCCACCTATCCCATTTCAGATTGGATTTCAGTGTGTTGGTGTTTTTATGAGTGGGCATGCCAGCCAACGCAACTTGCTCAGGGGTACTCTTGTCCCAGCTTCTTAATAGTCGCACAATGTGTTATGGATGAATAAGAACAGTCGGGTGCCTGTGTGTTTGGCCCATTCATTGCATACAAGGTTACATTACATAATCACCAGTGGTACTAAGGTTAATTGGAGTCGTAGTTTCTCTCCAAGGTGAAGCCCCTGTGCGCGTGTCGAGTGTACTACTGTTTGTTTATTTGGGATCGAGCCATAAGACGATTGCTATATCAAAGGGCAATGTTTTATAGCCTCGTCACATTGTCTTTGTCACACTCCTACCTAGCAGATTGTGGAAACTGCATGGCTCAGTTCAGTTTATGTTGATGAGGATGTGGACCGCCACAAGTCAGTTTGATAACAGAGGTTAAAGAAGAAGCAAGATGGCCGTCTCAGGTTCCACTGTTTTTTCCTTGGGACTTGGGGAGGGTAATCTCAAGACTGGCAAGAGGGGCTGAGTTTGGGATAGGAGTAGGGGAGGGGGGTTAGAGAGCTCCAAATCCGCTCAGCAGCTTGGGCTCTGGGTATGTAGTTAGGGGACTATGGGTAGGGGTATGTAGTTAGGGGACTAGGGTTTGGGGTCGGGGTGTGTAGTTAGGGGACTAGGGGTAGGGGTGTGTAGTTAGGGGACGAGGGGTAGGGTAGTGGTGTGTAGTTAGTGGACAAGAGTTTGGGTAGGGTAGGGGTGTGGCAGGGTACCAGATGACAACTGTCTTTATTCAGTCATTGGTCAGAACACTCAGAATGAGTAGTTATCGGGGAAGCCCAGTAACGAGACGCACCGCTCCCCTCCGTCAGCCAGGTAGGGGCCACAGCCATCCTCGTAGTGGGCCAGGGGCACGGTGGTGTCCTCCTCCCCCCCAGATGGGGGCAGGATGTCCGGGTCCTGCTTCAGGCTGGGCCTCTGGTTGTCAGGGAAGGCCATGGAGAAGAGCGCCTCGGGGTCACACGTAAACTTGTACACGTACCTCTCTCCAGCCACCTGATCCCACACAAAGAGAGCAGAGGGAGTTAGACAGTCGTTCAGCGTACGACCGCTAGTAGTTTGAAAATAACTTTGGGACTTTATTCCCAACCTTCTGAAACTCACAATGCATCTGCCCTGTCCTTATGTGCAACCAATGTACTGTTTATTGGTGCAATGTAGCCCTCAATTGTACTGATGTTTTCCCCTCAATTCATAAAGCCTCCACTGAATTTGACCCAAAATAGAGAATTGTAATTGACTTTAATTAAAATTAAATTTTACCTTTACCTTCTGCATGATGCCCTTCTCATAGTAATAGCGTAGAGAGCGGCTCAGCTTGTCGTAGTTCATGGCAGGCCGGTTCTTCTGGAGGCCCCAGCGCCGAGCCACCTGCCACAGGGGAGGAGAAAGGAAACTATTCTGATCAACCTGTAGATACATACACCAACTTCTTTTGTGGTTAGTTTCCTGTGTGTCACTTCTAGTGCCTTAATAGTAATACGGTGTGATTATTCCTGGAAGCACAGCGTAACAACTATTTTCATGACCTATTGTAACACTCCAGTTACTTTGAACTCATAGACAAAATGATGAAAAACTGGAAAGGAGCCCTAAAGTCTCTAAACTCAGTCACTAGGACCACGGCTCTGCTTGCTGACCATCTGCCAACTGACCTCTTCGGGCTCGATGAGTTTGAACTCCATGCCGCGGCCGGTCCAGGAGATGAAGTGACCGTTGGCCGGGTCGTCCAGCAGAGTGACCAGGAACTGCCAGAGCTGCAGGGAACCTCGGCGCTGGTAGGGCGGTCCGTCACGGAACACTCCGGCCTCCTGCTTGATCTTGCCTGGATGGACAGCAGGAGAGGGGGAAAGAGTGAGTGAGTGTGTAAACGAAGGAGTGGTGTGGACACCGTTAGGTGAAAGATGCCAGTGATGGGCAGTCTGAGCATGGGGATAAGATAAGAGGTTCTGTTCATGTCACACAGGCTTGCTAACGCTGTTCAAGGCCCCTTGGATCTACTCCTGTCATCCACACTGCCATGACATAACTAGAAGATGTCAGATACCAGGATTCACAACCTGCTGCCATTCACACCTAAAGCCTTGTGTCAAACCAGTCAGAGGTTCAAATAGTTTCTTTTTAAATACTTTCCGTGTTTGATTCTGCATGGATGGATGGGGTTTGCACTTTTGGGACAATTCCAGGGGTTATTTTGTGCCAGGCAAGTCATTGTATTTCATACTATTAATAGAGGAATGTCTTACCTTCTAGTCTCTCTGGAACCACGCACGTGTCGTCGTTGTACAGATGAGGCTCACCGTCGTAGACCAACCCATCATTGTTTTGGTAGAAGTTACCGGACTTCCCGAAAGAAGACTGGCAGTTCTGCATTTCTGTAAGACACGAGGGAAAATATTACACATCTTTTTCCTTGACATGTACCCTTCAAACCAGAAAGATAGACAAAAAGAAAGATATAAAAACTAATGGGTGTTTCTTTGAATAGATTCTTACTAGTAACTTAGTTTCTCAATGCTATCTTTTTAAAGTAGCCATTAGCCTAATGACATAATACCCAGTAGAAGACGGACATACATTCTCACACAGCCAACAGTCTCTTTACAGTCCCGTTTTTTTTTAGCTGGGACTTTATCAAGAGGGTTTGACTGTTACACCACTGACAGAAAGTGGGCTAGACATGGAGAGTGAAATGAGGTCATCTTAGCTTTCAAGATAAGTGTCTTAGAATGCTACACTGCAACACACCCAACGACTACTACTAATACTCAGTGTCCACATCAGCCTGAAACATGCTTACTGTTTTATCCCCATCGCTGTATTTGTAGCCACACACAGTTGACTCTCAAAGGAGCGGCTAACTTGGACAGCTTGGGCTGCTTCCAAACCCTTAGGGCCTTCCTGTCCGGACTCAGATTAAGCCTAGGCATGGAAGGAGAAGCACTTCCTATTGAGATTCTCCATTGAACATGTTTTTTTTTACTCCAGGACTAGGCCGAATCTATGAGTGGGAAACTGAGCCTCAAAGTCCGTTGCCATCAACGATTCCCCAGGGCTCACCTTGTTCAAAGCAGAAATCCCGGGGCTCCTGCTTGATAGAGAGGCCCTGGAACGGGGTGCGGGGAGGGCCCATGGTGGGGACCCCGTGCTCGGTGTAGCGGAGGTCGACCAGCTCCTGCTTGAAGCCCTGAGCAGGGAGGAGGACCAAGGGCTCTGACAGGTGCCGCTGGTAGAGGGGGCGGCCGTACCGGGACAGGGGGGCGCGGTGGGGGTGATGGGGCTGAGGGGGGTAGGGGGTACAGGAGGCACCGTCAGACGGAGGGAAAGGCTGACATGGCTCAGAGAGCTGCCGCTGGAACCTGGAGAGGGGGAATGAGAGACAGAGAGAGACAGACAAACAGAGAGAGACAGGGAGAGAAACAGAGACAGAGAGAGAGAGACAAAATAAGGAAAAAATTGTCAGTTAGGGTCTTAAACCAGAGAGCCTAACAACAATGGGATTTCATGTTCAAATCTATCCAACATGACATCAACTGTGGCACTGAAAATGCATGCCGAGTCCCAGCCTACAGTCGTTCCAATCATGGTTTTACAACCAAGATATACAAGCTATGGGGTCAGACAGTGCATGGTGCCAACACATGCCGCCAACCTGAGCCAACACATGGTGCCAACTCACCTGTGTTCTGAGCTGTAGGAGGCATCGGAGTGATTGACAGGTAGACGGGGCACGGCGAAAGGCTGGCTTTGGCTCGGGTGTGGCGGGAGTGTCCGGTGGTGGGAGGGGATCGGGGACGGTGCGTGCCCGTGAGTCGGACGACTGTGGCCAGGGTGTGTCGCATGGACAGGGGGCGTGATCTGCCTCTGCAGGGCGGGGCTGCAGGGCGAGGCGGGCGGGGTTAAAGTATTGATGCCGAGTGGCTTCCTGTTGTAGGCACTGTGGAGGGAGGGGAGGGAAGGAAGGGGTTAACTTGGGCCTGTAGAGGATTGCTGTATTCTCTCTGTGGACTTACCATGACATATTGACGGTGTGTTATCTGACATTATAAACTGGGTGGTTGGAGCCCTGAATGCTGATTGGCTGACAAAACATTTATTTGTACTGCTCTAATTACATTAGTAATTAGTTCATAATAGCAATAAGGCACCTCAGGGGTTTGTGGTATATGGCCAATATACCACGGCTAAGGGCTGTGTCCAGACACTCTGCGTTGCGTCGTGCATAAGAACATCCCTTAGCCGTGGTATATTGGCCATATACCACACCCCCTCAGGCCTTATCAACTTGATTTAGGTATACCTAATTAAGCAATGTCTTAGTAGAAGTACATTTGAGTCATTTAGCAGACGCTCTTATCCAGAGTGACTTACAGTTAGTGAGTGCATACATTTTTCATAGTAGAGAAATGTACTATCCCTTTACAGTCTTTTATGATCTTTTATTGGTTGTAACTGAAAATACCTCTTTCTACAGAGAGTACAATTTGGGGCGGGGTGTAAAACCTTGTCCGTCTCAGTGTGTAATGTAGCGTACCTGTTGCTGTAAAGGTCCTTGTCTGTGTAGGGCGTGGGTCTCTGTTGTTCCTGACTGCAGGGGGACAGATCTCTGGAGGGGCTGGACTCTCGCTTCACTTTACTGGCTGGAGGACCATGGAACATTACTTTGAAGAAAGTAAGAGTACATCACAAAACTGCACAATAATATAATATAATATATATATATACATACACACACACCATTTAAAGATTCACTACAATGAATGGATGTATTCAGTATTCTTGTTTTGTGTGCTGGGTGTCTTTAATTACAACCTCCAATTGTTTTATTTTTTCTCTTCTGTTTGTTGTTTAGTCAATAGTGAATTGTTGAGGTTCTAAAACTGTCCTTCTGTTTGGGAGGGAAAACTATAAACCCAGCAGTGAATGACAAACGGTGTACTTTCACTAGTTGGTTTTTCATTGTTTCCAAGGCAACAATCAGACCAGTAACAAAGATGCATTTGTATTAAATTGCACAGAAAAGTGTTGCACAGACCAGAACATGCCAATATGCTCCAACTTCCACCAACAGTTAGTAACTTAGGCAGCCATTGTGTGTGTGTGTGTGTGTGTGTGTGTGTGTGTGTGTGTGCATACAGTAGGACTTTAACTGGGTGCTGTGTTGGCATCAGAGGCTGGGTCTATGCCTACATCAACTCCCCATTTCCTGTTGTGCCACAGAACGGCCATCATTCAGCTTCCGCAGTCTAGTAAATCACCCAGCGCAGCCACAGGCCAGCAGAAAGTCAACTCTTTATGGAGTTATGCCTCTCAGTGCCCATAGTGACCTCCATTATCTGCTAAGGTGTTGCGCATCGAGCATCTATGACTGAAACACTTTATATTTCAGTTGGAAAACCTCAAACAGACAACTGGATTGTCTGTGTTACAGAACCACAGTGCAACTCAACCACAGCCTGTACCTCAATTGGTAGAGCACGGCGCTTGTAACGCCAGGGTAGTGGGTTCGATCCCCGGGACCACCCATACGTAAAAATGTATGCACACATGACTGTAAGTCGCTTTGGATAAAAGCGTCTGCTAAATGGCATATTATTATAATATGATTTAATTCTCAGTAGAACAATAATTAAACTCTTGCAACATTTCTTTAAATCACTAACAACTCCACCACAGGTCATTGCTGGTAGTTAATAAGAGTGTGTTCTCACTACTCAGCCAAGTTCATTGCTAAATTAAGGAGTAAGGAGTTGATGGCAGAATGCCATGTGATCGCTATGGACACTGCCCCTTTGCCCAGCTGCAGAGTCCACACACACACACACTGGAGAAGGACTGCTGAATGAAGGGTCTGTGAGACCAAATGGTAGCATGCCAAACTAGGGAGCCTCATGCCAATCCCGTCGCCGCACACACACACACACGACTTCACACACTCAGACTCTTTAGCAAACACAACAATCGTCCGGCTGTGCCATAGCACAATTCACTCAGTGTGTACACTCTGAGGATACACACCGCATTAAAAATGTCACTAGCTGCGTCCCCGACAAATGAAATACAACGTTGCAGTGAAACAAGGCAAGACCGGGCCTCTAAAACCCTCTTTCTTCCTCTATAGGATCATTCACATGTTGCAACTAAACCAGCCTGTAGCTCCGTCTGGAGCCAAATCAAAGGCTTCCATTCAAACCTCACGCATATATTATTCTAGGCAGCGAAAGAGAGAGGAGATGAGTACAAAGCAAACAGCATGAGGGTTCTGTGGGCCTGGATTGGAACGCAGCCCATCCTAGCAGCCAAGAGCTGTGGTTGGTCGGTTGGGACTCCATGGAAGGCCATCCCAGGCTGCTGTGGCGCACCTGGGTCATGTTAAGTAAGGCCCACCGTAGCGAAACGCTTTACAACAGAAAATATCCCTGTTTCAAACCGTTCTCTCTTTATTTCCTCTGATGTTAATGTGGTGAATCAGGGCAGAGAACAGAGAATAGGAATGTCCTCATTCGGGTTGACTATAAAAGAGGATAGCTGAGGGATCTCTGGTATAAAAGCACAACATTCTTGATTTTCACCAGGTGAGTGGTGTCTTATTCTAAGGTAGCCCTTTTTTTTCCTGCTCCTTTGTTTGAACACAAACCCTACAATCCAATAATCAAGGTGTGCATCGAGGGCAATGATTGGCTACAGGACAGAAGTAAGACCACTGATTGGCTACAAGGACAGAAGTAAGACCACTGATTGGCTACAAGGTCAGAAGCAAGACCACTGATTGGCTACAAGGACAGAAGTAAGACCACTGATTGGCTACAGGTCAGAAGCAAGATCACTGATTGGCTACAGGTCAGAAGCAAGACCACTGATTGGCTACAGGTCAGAAGCAAGACCAACGGCAGGATGAGCGGAGGTTGGTTTAATCAGGGCTCAACGACGTCAATTGGATTTCTGCTTTCGATGACACAAATCTGTTGTTAAAGTTTCCCCTCAGCCTACGTAGGCAACCAATGAGCCCTAACCACGTACCCATAAAAATTCACTCACTGACTAGTGACGCACTGAATTAATATGCCAACTGGATAAGACTGGTATTGGAAAAACAGTAAATCTCTTTGTTGTGCTTGTGATGCTTGTATGTTGTGTCAAAGACCATGTCTGGGAATTAAGGGTTCATTTGGAAATGCGCAACTATGCAAGAGCAGACGCTGTCGATTCCCCTTTGTAACACAAATACACATGTAAATATTTAAAATCGGTTGGTACTTACGGTTATCCGACTGGAAATCTGGGACAAACTGTTCATCATCAGGCACCTGAGCTGAAAGAGGGAACAGAGAGAGTTAAATGACTAACTTATGGATGGCATGCCACATGGCTGAGTCACTTTAATAGGCGTAAATAGAACAAACACAATGCACTTGATACAGTACAGTAAAAAAAACGTAAATATTTATGATGCACTTGATGCAGTACAGAAAGAAAAAAAGGTTAATATTTATGATGCACTTGTTAAAAAGAGGAAGTCATAAAGTTTTAAATAACAACCTATATTTTCCTGTTTTTCCTGATTCAATAGCCTCGGGTAAACCACTGATGTTACTAAAAACAATGAGCATGATGCAAGATTGAAAACCTACTGAAAGACAAGAGCAGAACTCACCTTCTGCAATCCATGCCTCTTGAAGTTGCAAGAGGTCTTGAAATAGATCTTCTGTGTCCTGGGCGAGCTCGGTGTCCACAAACTTTCTCTTCCGGTCGTTGAATGGCGCGTTCGCTGGTTCTTCCATGTGAGAATTCTGCTAGGACAATGTTTAAAATACCTACAACATTAGCAATTGCATTGATGTGGAAATGAACAATGATTAGCCTAAACATGATTGGTATCAAAAAATCCCTAAGAATCTATGTATCCTAAAAAGTAAATCAGGTGCTATCTTAATCCACTCTATGAAAAGTTTCAGATTAGTGCTTTGATCAAAATCCTACGTGGAAAAAATATCAGAGAAAACGTCCAGAGAATAGTCTAAATACTCACACTAGGGGGGGACATGAAAGGGACTTGCTGGTCGTAAAATCCGTCCATGTTGCCTGAATGTCTTCACACCCTCTGGACTGAAGTTGGTGTTGGAGGGGCTGACTGTAGCAGCAGGAGATCCTCGTCCGTCGGTCTGTTCTTTCTGTGGAGAGCCGAGAAAAGTGGCACGCAAGTGCGTCCCCTGGTCAGTAGCCTATACCCAAATCACCTGTCATTTAACGTCAACACAGACATAGGATGTTTCCCCAAATGGCAACCTAACCTATTCCCTGTATAGTGCACTATGCCCTTTGGGCCCTGGTCAAAAGTAGTGCACTAAAGGGCAAAGGAAGCCATTTGGGATACAACCTCAGTCTGCCTTCAGGATAAGACAGTTGTTCCTTTCCTCTGTCTTGGGTGTTTGTTTTGTGTTGTTTGTTTGCGTAACCCTCCCTGCATCGGAGTGTTGGCGGGCTGTACACCATGTCAGTGAGCATGTACTCAATAGGCTGGGGACAAAGTCCTTACATAGGCATGGCAGCAAGGCACAGTAAGCTATCTGGGGATGAGACTGTTGACATTACAGTCTTTACATTAAGTAGAAGGACTAGGCGGGAGCGGTTTTGAATAAGTGTTCAACTGAGTGCTAGTAAAATAGGATTCAAATCAGGGGCTTGAGTTTAGTAGTCCTTGATATATGTAAAGATTGGATAAACTATTATTTAGGAATATTTAATTTCGAGTCAATAACAGAACGTATAAAAAGTATACATGCAATAATCTGAATCAAAAACATTATAGGTGACGTTTCAACATTATTTGACAAGTATTGGATAAAGTTACGTTTTCAGGGCAGCGGGGTAGGAGAGGGTTAATCTCAGCAAAGAAAATCTAACCCAGTTCAAGAAGTAGCTAAACTCCCCACCCCCCGCAGACCCTCCTCCCTCTACCGTTTCTTATTCCCCCCTCATGGCCCCAGCTTGTTTTTCTCAATGAAGTGAAATTTGATCCCTGAGCAAAAAGATGGGGGTGGGGGAAGGAGTCGAACCTTCCATTCATAAAATGTTAGAATCGTCTATGAAGATTCTGCATGCGCAGTAGCACGCCAAAATACTGCAACATAAACAATCCCACCTCAAAGTAAGTCATGTAAAAACATTTTCCTACGAATAAGAAAATGGTTGCCAAATTAAGATACATATAAAATGGCGTTCACATTGCTGCCCCCCCCACCAGATAGCTAGAAAATGCTTGCCAGAGAACTCGCATTCTATGGATGCAAGTCGGTCAAAGTTAATGCATCATTACAGGCGCTTGAAATAAACTAACGCAAAAACCTTATACGCATATTTTTGTTGCGGTTGATAATTTGATGTGAAACTCACCTTTGCGAAGATGTAATTCCTTTGCAATGTTGAAAATAAGTTGTGTTTCACTCCACGCTGTTGCAAACGTCCTTTCAGAATTTACGTCTATGCTCTTCTCACACAAAGCTTGATTGTGGATTTCTGAATGGAATCGTCTGGTTTTCCCTTGAGCGAAAATAGAGGACTCCATAATACACGCCCATTGGTTGTTACACTATGCCATTCAAGTGACTGACCAATCGACGTTCAGAGAGCTCTTTGGACCCCAGTGACCAATGGTGAGCGACCTTGTCTTGTTTTTATGAATGACTGCTTTTCATTCACGTCAGACGGCCAGACACGGGGTGGAACGAAAAAGTTACAGTAGAAACAGATACTGACATCTTGAAACATATAAACTCGAGTACATTCACACAACAACCAGATAAAATGTTTTGCTACAAAGTTGTTACATAGTTATTACAGCATCTTGCTACATTGTTATTACAACATCTTGCTACATATTTGCCATTTTCAGTTTAGAAAAACAGTCTTGTCTGGGAGAACAGCAGGATATGCAGTGTCCAGTTTCACAGGTTTTTTAGTTTTTTCTTCTGACATTGATTAACTGCTCAGGACAGAGCTGACTGTATGGAGTCTGGACACAGTCGATCACACACACACTTTACACGCAAACACACACACACTATTCTGCCCAGGGTTGAACTGCAGTCAGATAAGAAAAGGTTAAAATGCTTACAGTCGATTAAATGCCAAACATGATCTGAGTTGCAGGGTAATTATAATGACCTCATACTACCTTGTTATGTAAAATGTTATGGTGGTACAGAGGGATGCTCCATTGTCTGCACAGACTCTATAGTATTAAAGAGATATAACTATGGTGTTACAGAGATATACACTGAGTATATCCAGGGGTGTAAAGTACTTATGTAAAAATACTTTAAAGTACTACTTAAGTAGTTTTTTGAGGTATCTGTACTTTACTATACTATTTATATTTTTTTACTACTTTTACTTTTACTTCACTACATTCCAAAAGAAAAGTATGTACTTTTTACTCCATACATTTCCCCTGACACTCAAAAGTACTCGTTACATTTTGACTACTTAGCAGGACAAGAAAATGGTCCAATTCACACACACATCCCTGATCAACCCTACTGCCTCGGATCTGGCGGACTCACTAAACACAAATGCTTCGTTTGTAAATGATGTCTGAGTGTTGGAGTGTGCCCCTGGCTATCTGTAGATTAGAAAACAATAACATTGTGTCATTTGGTTTGCTTAATATAAGGAATTGGAAATGATTTATACTTGTACTTTTACTTTTGATACTTAACTATATTTTTTGCAGTTACATTTACTTTTGATACTTAAGTATATTTAAAACCAAATACTTTTAGACTTTTGCTCAAGTAGTATCTTACCGGGTGACTTTCACCTTTACTTGAGTCATTTTCTATTAAGGTATCTTTACTTTTACTCAAGTATGACAATTGGGTACTTTTTCCACCACTGAGTATACCTAACATTAGGAACACCTTCGTAATATTGAGTTGTCCCACCACAATCCATGTCTCAATTGTCTCAAAGCTTAAAAATCCTTCTTTAACTTGTCTCCTCCCCTTCATCTACACTGATTGAAGTGGATTTAACAAGTGACATCAATAAGGGATCATAGCTTTCACCTGGATTCACCTGGTCAGTCTGTTTCATGGAAAGAGCAGGTGTCCTTAATGTTTTGTACACTCGGTGTAACTCTATGGTGTAACAGGGATAGATAGTTAGTTACACATCCTAGCTTTCACATTGGTTCTATTCCCCTGGTATTTGTATTTACTAGTTATATATTGTCATGTCTGTATGTGTGGCTTTTTATTTAAACCAAGGTCTATGCCTTTAGGCTGCATTACAACAATCCACTTTGCACTGTTGTTAATTGACTAATCACCACACTTTACACTGTCGTTATTGACCAATCACCACACCACCACTGTCGTTATTGACCAATCACCACACTTTACACTGTCGTTATTGACCAATCACCACACTTGACACTGTCGTTATTGACCAATCACTACACTTTACACTGTCGTTATTGACCAATCACCACAATTTACACTGTCGTTATTGACCAATCACCATACTTTTTTCCATTCACAGGTCGAAACTCAAGAGCGAAGGATAGGAGCATTACATTTACATTTACATCATTTAGCAGACACTCTTATCCAGAGCGACTTACAAATTGGTGCATTCAACTTATGATAGCCAGTGGGACAACCACTTTAGAAGTAGAAGGATTACTTTTATACTATTGCAGTTCCCTTGGAGTTAGCTTTCTCCATGCTCACCCCTTCCATAATACATTGTCTCTCTGTTCCATCTCTGCTGTGTGGATTGCAGTAGGACTGGATCAGAGACCTGCTGTTAGTGGTGAGTGCTTGTCATACATTATTCATACAAGGGTTGTTATTCAGTAGTGCACACCCTAGCAAAATGTTTAGCAACGGAAAACAAAATGAGTGTTTCTTATTGGACAAGTCCAGGTAGTCCCTCCTTGTTTCAGTCAGGTTTCTTCCGTTTAGCGTCTAATGAACACGACACAGGTTTTCAAAGGGTCTTTCCACCACCCTATGCAGTCTAATCTTTGGAGTATTTGTACCCAAACCCACTGGCCTACTGACCCCTTCTCACCCTACGTTGGTACCCTTGGTACAGGCATGCACCAACATCAGCCCAGCCCAGGGTGCACATTCACAAGACCCCCAAATTCACACAGTCCTGTGATCCAATACAGCTCCCTTTGTCCTCATTGGCTGTGGTCCCAGATCACCCTCCAGGTCTCCTAGCCTCCTCCCTCTGAAGCCTGCAGACACCGTTACAGGCTTCGTCTTAAATGGCACCCTATTCCTTATGTAGTGTACTACTTTTGATCAGGTCCTTGTCAAAAGTAGTTCACTACATAGGGAATATGGTACCATTTGGGACACAGCCACAGTTTGGTAACAGTTCTCGGGGCTCTTTGATAGTATTTACCATGCAGTATCATGACTGTATGCTTCAAAGACTCTTCATCTCTCCCCCCTCCCTCCTGCCTTATTTCAAGCAGTATGTCTATCCAGCTAGAAGCAGCAGATTCCTCTCTAATTCCCCTTTGAACTAATTCCAGTTCATTACCCTTCCCATTGTTCCAAAGCACGAGGGATCTAGACCATGAAGCTCACCTCTCTCACCCACCGTTATCATAGTTCTCTCTCTCTCTGTCTCTCTCTCTCTCTGTCTCTCTCTCTCTCTCTCTCTCTCTCTCTCTCTCTCTCTCTCTCTCTGTCCCCCTATCTCTCTCTCTCCCCCGAGGGGTCGGCAGGTGTGGCGCGGGAGTCCCCCTCTACTGTATCACTAGTGCTCTACTCTACTGTATCACTAGTGCTCTACTCTACTGTATAATTAGTGGTCTACTATACTCTACTGTATCACTAGTGCTTTACTCTACTGTATCACCAGTGCTCTACTCTACTGTATCACTTGTGCTCTACTCTACTGTATCATTAGTGCTCTACTCTACTGTATCACTAGTGCTCTACTCTACTGTATCATCAGTGGTCTACTATACTCTACTGTATCACTAGTGCTCTACTCTACTGTATCACTAGTGCTCTACTCTACTGTATCATTAGTGGTCTACTATACTCTACTGTA